TCAACCGACTGCGCCACCCAGGCGCCCCTCTTTTTGCTTTTTAATGTGGCTAATAGAAAACTTTATATCTGTGACTTGGATTATATTTCTATTGGACAGTGCTGGTCTAGATAGCAGGATATGTAAAAGAAAAAATGCTTTTATTTTGAAATATGTAAATTTGTGTGCTTTCAGATTATAAACTGGCAGAGCTGGTTTGCAATTTTCTTTTTTGGCAGTGATGATCTCAAGGTTTAAATGTGATCACAGAATGTTCTGAGAAACTGTCCTGCCAGTTTTTCTGGCTAGATAAAAACTTCATCTTGATCTGCTTTATGACTTATTTAATTGAAAATAAGCACTTCTTTAATAGAATTTGCACTTGATTTCAGAATCAAATTGTTTGGCCTTTCCTAAGAAAAGTTTAAAACCAAGGGTCTATATTTTAGGTGTATGTCTTAGCCAAGAAGTTGTATCAGATATACTTCATTCTCTATATGCTTTGAAAATCTAAGTTTATTTCCAGCAAGAACTCCGAAGATTAGACTAGAGCTGCAAATATTTAATAGCAATGAATAATGCAAATTTACATGCAATTCATGTAAAGGATCTCTCTGTGCTTTAATAGGGAATTTGTATGATTTCTAAAGTGTTTATAATTTTCACACATACATCACTTTTTAAAACTGTTGAAACTAGTACAGAAAATTTTAACTTTTTAATTGAGTTTAGCAGATAAATTTAATGATATAATATCAGTATAATGTACCATCTTGTTATAGTGTTTATAGGAAGGATTGCTAGGCATTCAGTATCTGAGAAAGATTCAGTTAGAATATAAAATCTGATTTTAACTTAAAGAATTTTTTTCTTAGAGTTTTATTAATCAAGATAAAAGAAAAGAAATAGAAGATGAAGATAAATCCAAATCATTTATGCAGAAATATGAACAAAAAATCAGACATTTTGGTAAGTCTGCTGTTTAGTTTTCCTTCTTTTATAATATAAAGTGATACCATAAATATGTGTACAGAAAGTGTCTGTATTATAATGGGTACCAAAAAGAAGGTAAATGACAAAATTCCTTTTGGGTAGCCACTTCTGGCACGGTTGTACAGCTCTTGTTTTAGACCCTTTTTTTGGATAATAAATAGATTGACAGCAAACTAAGTTGTGAAGAGAAGCAAAATTCAGTCTATTATATAATGCTGCCCTCTAAGACCTAGTCTTTGTTTACTCCACAGCATCTTTCTGTTTCCCAACTGGTCTTTGCTCTTCTCTTTTTCCCTCTTTGCTTCCATGGCATCTGATTATTTTATGGGGATAAGATTAGCATTCGTTATTTTCAGGTTTTGGAATAGTTGCTGTATAAGTCACGCAGATCCTTCAGCTGCTATTCGGATAAATACAGTAATAGAAATATATCTACAGGGTACTGAAAACGAGTTTTCTCTATTGAAGAAAGACTGCGGGCTTGGGGTGATGTAGTGAAGACTTCGCACAGGAGGTGACATCTGAGCTAGACTGAAGAACACATAGGAGGAGGTCCCCGTGTAGATGAGGGAGCAGCAGCGAGTGCAGAGTTGGGAGATAACATGTTGCGCTGCTGCGTAAGCAGCGTGGTGCTGTTGGGGAGAGAGTGCTTTTGGGAAGTGTTAGTGGTTAAGGTTCAAGGTCTGTATTTTGATCCCAAGTAACATGTTAATTTAGTAAACATAGTTTTCATTTATAGTATGTTAATAAGCTTATTAAGTGACATTTGGAAATATATTTCCAATGGTGTTTTTTTTCCCCTAAGTGTTTAGAATTTCATTCATCCTTCAGTTATGTTAAAACGGTTGCTACTACTTTGGATTTTTCCCCTTTTTATGTAGTTCATTCATAAAGGATTCATTTTTCTCACTCTCTTTGTTTTAAAAAAAGAAAGGCTGTGTATTCGAATTAAGTAAAGAATAGAACTTGACGAAATGAACAGGGTTTACTTTTTAAAATTTTGTAAATGAGTCTTGGTTGTGATAGTGTGATTGGCCATTCCCACCTGGAGTCCTTGCTTCCTAGCCTGTGTGTCCCACTGCATGTACTAGAAGAGCATCTTTTAAGGTGCTCTCACCCAGATGGCCTTCTGTAAGCTTTGGAGCCATGGGAAGCCTAATGGTGCAAAATGGTCCCCTCATTTTTGCTGCAAACAGAGCACTTTAATAAGCAATTCTGTGTGGGAGAATAACCCAGCCTCACAGGGTATTGTAACCCATCTGGCACTACGTACGACTTTTTAAGTCCTCAGCAAAACATTTAACCATTCCATAATACCTGCTTCTGGGTGGTGATGTTTATAGGACCAGTGAATTTCATGAGCCTCTTGTCTTCATGTCTTTTGTTGTAGAATGAATTTCTGGGCCAAGAAACAATGTGAAGTGGGCAATAACTCATTTAGTAGGACCACAGACATATTAGTGGTGGAAGCATGGCACCACCATGCGCTGGTTTCTGCTACTGGCAAATTAGGTATTGAGAGGCTATCCTGGAATATCCTTAATGGGGAGATCCCATGCCATTGAATCTCTGCATAATCTCAAGTCTGCCACTGAGAGTCCTGAATTTATACAATATTATGCAAACAGGGAGATGGCTGAGGAAAAAAGCTGACTTGACCTCCATACGTAGAGGACTAATAAGGAGAGGTTTTGCCATTGCGTGTTGGGGCTTCCATTGTCTCATCCCCTAAGACTAATCAGAGCCTTATTGTCTTCAAAGTCAACCAGACCTCATAGCCACTCCCAGATTCACACTGTGCCTGTTTTTTGATGGAAACGTACGCTGTCTTTTTCCTTTGGAGGAGATGTCCTACTTGCCGCAGTTCCTTGGATCCCTAGAAATGTTACTAAGGTAGTAGGCTCCCAAATTTTCCATGTGTTTTTTTCCTACTTTCTGGCCTGCATATATCTTACCAAGACATCTGGGATACCTGCCACTTCCTGCTCACCAAGTTCTGTCAGCATGACGTGGACCAGCTTGCAGGCATGCGGGATGGTGGGATGATGGAAGTCCCTGTGGACTGAATTGTGGCACAGAGCAGCCAGAGACCTTAGGCAGCTCAGTGAGAGTGTAATGCTGTTCCTGCTGGGTGCAAGCAAATGTTTCTGGTGTTCTATGCTTATTATGGTGGAGAGTGAAGAAAGCATCTGTCAGGATTATGACTACATTGATACACTTCTTCAAAGTGTATCACATCTGGAATAGCAGCTGTAATTAAAGTTTCCAGCAGAGGCTTTCCAAACTTGGCTTGCATTCCCAACTCTTGGAAGGCACGAGCCTGAGACACAGAGAGCTGTGACGGGCTCCGGTGACCTGACACCGGTACTTCTCTGCGGTTTCATGTGTGCCTGACATTAACATTTCCATTGTGCTGTTTGTTGACCATCTTACGTATGTGACTTTACCATCTAATGATAAATGGTACAACCATATCGTGGAGTATTTTGAAGCAATGAAATCTTGGATTTCCCTCCCTACAGTTGAATTTAATTTATTAATTTAGTTAACTCATGTTTTATAAATATACCAGTTTAGCAGCAAAGTCTGTTTTCTTTTCAGTTTCCCAGTTTTATTCCAAGTCCTGTGCATCTCTGACCTCATTTTCTTTGTGATCATCAGAGCTGCTTTTTGATGATCTAACACGGTTTTTCATGGTACATCAGCTTTTCACTTCCAGCCAAAGTTAGCTGTGATTTAACATCTTTGAATCTATGTGGGATGTCGTCACTGGAATTTTTACTGAAAGATGTAAATGTTTGCGTAAATACTCTGATGGGATTTTTCTCATTTGTATTGAAGGTAGATATTCCATTTCCTCAATGTAAGCGCTTACACATTGCTTTTCAAAACCACATTGATACCCTGTTTGTTGAAAAACATTTAGTATAAAAACTCCTGAATAGAATGTGGAGTGAAATGAATAGAAAACGAATATGCATGATATGATTCTAATTTTTTTTTTTTAATTTTTTCAGTGTTTATTTTAGAGACAGAGAGCACAGGAGCAGGGGAGGGGGGAGGGACAGCAAGAGAGGGAGACAGAATGAGCTGTCAGCACAGAGTCTACTGTGGGGCTCAAACCCATGAACCGTGGGATCATGACCTGAGCCAAAGTTAGACATTTAACCAACTCAGCCACCCAGGCACCTAATTTTATTTAAGTAATTAAAAATAAAGCCCTGGGGCCCCTGGGTGGCTCAGTCAGTTAGGTGTCTGACTCTTGATCTCAGTTCGGGTATTGATCTCAGGGTCATGAGTTCAGGCCCTGCACGCAGGGCGTGGAGCCTACTGAAAAAAAAATTCCAGAAAGAAATACATTAAAGTGTTAACATTAACATTAATCATCTCTTGTAGTAGGATTGCAGATGATTTTCTGGATTTTTCAAATTCTTCACAATGAATATACATCATTTTTATAACATGAAAAAGAAGTATTTTTAAAGGGTTTATCCTAAGAATTCAAGGATGGCTTAACATTGGAAAATTTATTAACATGATTCACCATATTAACAGCTTATAATAGTATCACCACAAGACTTGGTGATCAGTTTGATGTGGGAGGAATGGAAATGTCTAGAGGAATTTCTAGAATTCTTGAGTGGGTGACATGGAGCCTGTGAAGCACTGCAGATGGCAGGGAGAGAAAAATGGGTTTGGTTTCAAATAAGAGGAGTTTATGTGCAAACGTGTAGGTAGAAATAGTTGTCTGGTGGCAGGTGACTGGAAATATAGGTGATCTGGGACTCGGGAAATACAGAAAAAGGTTATTTAACTTCCATTGAGAAATTCTCAACCTTGTTGGGATGTTTTCCGCAGCTAGAGATAGGAAAATCATTAGTGTAATTTGAAGGATTCAAATCTGTTATTCTGTAAGTATAATGCCACGAGGAAAGGGAAATCAATAAGGTCGTGTGTCTTGGGCAACCATTTTTGGAATCCGGTGGAATATCGAGAGCTGATGGATGGATTGGGATTTAGATGTTCAGGAAAATACATACGTGGAAGCACACAATTAAAGCATTCTAATTCATCAAGATAAGGTTTTTCGAGCAATCAGAGATTGGCCGGCCGGTTGGAATGACTATATTAGTCTTCTCCAAAGCGTCTAATATTCGCTGAAAGAGTGAATTGTTCCCTTTTGTGTTGATACTGCCTAGTGTGTACCCTCTTGTCAGGCACTGTCCCCAATGCTTCATGTGTATTAACTCATTTAATTCTCAACAGAAACCCTCTGAATGAGATACTATTTTTAGCCCTATGTTACAGAAGAGGAAAAGGAGGCATAGAGCTAGCCAAGGCATAGGAGATGGTAAGGACAGTATTCGGACCTAGGCCGTTTGTTTCTCGAGTCTGCTTGTTTTAGTCACCACGAGAGATTGTGCTACTCATAGTTTGTTTACAAATTGTAAAATAACGTCACAGTGATTTCAGGTATGTTGTTCCACTAAAGACTTGGAGTTTCCTGAAGTATTTTGTTCATAAAATTCCACACTCTTTCCACGAAGGTGTGTGTGGGCTCTTGTAACCTGACGTGTCAGTTTCATGATAATCGGTATGCATTTTTGAAATCAAGTGATGAGAGGTATTTCTCAGATAAAGAAAAGCTGTGGTCAAGTATTTTGTCTTAGGTATTAAATGGATAGTTTAAAATTTTTAACATTCGATGACACCCTCATGATCCCTATAAATGTCACTAACCATTTCGTATTATCCTTCCTGTAAAAGAAACCAAAATGGATAGGATTTGGGTGCCTCAGTAAGTCATGATGCTGCCATGGAGAAGTAAACAGAAGCAATGCTCTCTGTGTGGATGGTGGATAGAGTTGAAATACCTCTTCAGGACTCTAACAAAGCTAACGCAAAACTGCTTCATAGGATTTATTTTATGGCTTCAGGTATAAGAAATAAGGATTATGCTTTCTTTAGATCTGACCCTCAGAAGTTTAATTAGACTCTTTAACTGTAGCTTGAGAAGTAGTTTTAAGTAACTTTCAAAATCATTGTTTCTCAGAATTTAAAATGCCCTAATCACTCCATCTGAAGCATTGGGAAAATACTTAATAAAACTCTTTACGAGAAAATGCTAAAATGCTTCCTCCCTCCTTTATTTAAATGAGAAACAGTAATCATTTCTTTTCAGTTGATTCCCATGTGTTGCTAAACGTGTGTTTGTCAAAAAGACATTTGTCCTCAGTTTTGTTCTTTGTGTTCTAATGTGGAACTTTAACATATAGAAGTTCAATTTGTATCTAGAGGAAAGATGTCACTGCCAAACTATTGACACCACCTAAAATTTCCAGAATGCTTCAGTGACATACAGACTTCTTTGGATGAGTCTTAAGAGTCTAAAGCTAATGTTCTTCTACTTAATTTATTCATGTGTAAAGCTTACTGGACAAAGATAAAAGCTGAATGCTTTGCTGGTTCCATGATGGTATTGACTTTTTGGCCAAATTTCTTATTAATTTGGATAAAGATACAGATATACCTTAAGTAGTATTTGGATTAGCTTGATATTTTGAAGCAAAATGGCATCTGCTTTTAAATACGCTTCACTAATTTCTAAAGGTTTTCTGTGTGTTATAAGCATGACTAAATGGTTAAAGTACATTTACTTTTATCATACTTGATTGGTTTTCTCTGCTGTCAGCATTTGACTTTATCAGCTTAGACATTTTTTAATAAATTAGAGATGATGGGGTTTTTCACTTTTATTACGTCTTTGCTAAGTATAGTTTCTTGAGGTTTTGCTTTCTTCTCCATATTTCTAATAGAAAAATTTGTATTCTGTGAGTAAATAATACTGAGTGTCTTGAAATCATTTGTACTTACTTCTGCCTAGGATGACCAGCCAGTTTGCCTGGAATTTCAGGCATTCCTCAGATGCAGAATTTTTTTTACTTTAAATCAGTCGCCCTATTTTAACCTAATTATCTGAAATGAAACTTTCTGTGAATTTTGGAAGCTGTTTCCAATATATTGGGTATTGCTTTAAAAGAGTTTTATTCTCCTTTCTTTGCTCTTTTACCATAACCTATTGCTGTAGTAATGTGAATTGTCTTTAAAGAGAATCATTTTAAAATACCATTTCTTTGTTTATAAGAGTATTTGACAGTTGTGATTTAATCCTTTTTTTATAGGTATGTTGAGTCGATGGGATGATAGTCAGAGATTTTTGTCTGACCATCCATACCTTGTATGTGAAGAAACTGCTAAATATCTTATTTTATGGTGTTTTCATCTAGAAGCTGAACAGGTATTGTGTAAACCTTGAGTTTCTGGGACCCTTAATTTAATTCTGATATGCTTTTTTGGTTTTTTGTTTTTTATGTTACTTCCTTTAAATGAAAACAGGAAGGTTATTAAATAGAATTATAATTTTTTGTTTTTAGACCTACTTGAGTTTACCGTGGGAACTTTTATAGTTGTTTTAGTTAGCATAAGGAAACTTTGCCAGTAGGCTTTTTTTGCTGCCTCATTTCTTTGTTCCTGTATACTCTAAACCTTTTTCTTTTTTAGCCTATTTGAAAATCATGTTTTAAAATCCACATAGTTAGCACAATGTCAAATATATTTCCAGAGGTATTTCTTGGTAATTTTAATGTCTGTTTTCAGAAAGGGGCTCTAATGGAACAAATAGCACATCAAGCTGTTGTGATGCAGTTTATTATGGAAATGGCCAAAAACTGTAATGTGGATCCAAGAGGGTGTTTTCGTTTATTTTTCCAGAAAGCCAAAGTAAGTAGCTATTTCATATTTTTAAATGGGAAGATTAAGGGGCGCACCTGGGTGGCTCATTCCGTTGAGCATCCGACTTCAGCTCAGGTCATGATCTCACGGTGTGTGAGTTCGAGCCCCGCGTTGGGCTCTGTGCTGACAGCTCAGAGCCTGAAGCCTGCTTTGGATTCTGTCTCCCTCTTTCTCTGACCCTCCCCAGCGTGTGCGCGCGCTCTCTCTCTCTC